CCGAGCACGTGGTAAATCAGCACTTAAAATTGCAATTAACAATTTCATTGGTGCCGGCGGGGATCGAACCCGGGTTACTCGCGTTCTGTTATATTTACAGCGAGCGTTAACCACTGAGCTACCACGGCTCAAATTGTATGCGCACAGTTAATAAGAAAGTGAGCTGGAATGTTATCGGGACCAGCAGATTTCGTTGGATCCAACGTTTTAAGCAGGTTTTTGACTGTATTTTCGTTTATATCAATTGAGGTGATATCTACACTCGACTGAGGCAACACTAGAGAATCATTATAATTATTTTTAGACAGCTGAGTATTACTATCACCCGAAACCAAAAAATTTGAACGAAAATAGTTTGAAAAAGCATTACAGATAAGTTCGCCAGAGTTAATTACAGAACCTTCAAATTTGAGACAACAAGGTATTGAATGTGATTTTGATTTTTGTTTAATATACGACCAGAAGTGTTTCGGATTTGCACTAATCGAATTTTCCACAGAGGTTATGTAAGATTGGTATACTAACTTTTCTAATTTCCTTACACACTCCCGCAATAGCTTAAAAGTTTCATTGTCATGCCTACAGCCATAGATCCTAAATTTACGTAAAAATTTATGTTTTTCTTTAATAGCTTTTTTAAGTTGTGTTGTATACCATTTGGGATAAGTGTCGGCAAGAATTAATTTTGAGGGGATATATTTGTCTTTAAGTGACGTGAGTGTGCTATAAAAGTATTGAACTGATTCATCTAAGGATAACGGAGACATAACTTGACCCCATTGGATATTGGCAATCTCACCATTTAATGAATGATAGTCACCTTTATGATATAAGAACTTAAGGCGAGAATTGCTATTTAATGAGTCACAATCAACGTTATCAAAAGATATTAAAAGGGCACTATGATAAGGATCAACAGGAATAAGAGAATCCCCACTTAAATCACGAACGGTTACAGCGTCGCTAGAAAAAACAAGGTCAAGGATCCTGCCATGAGCATTATTTATACCATTAAATTGTCTCAAATTTAGCGAGCTTAATTCATCTATTAATAAAATTTCATTTCCTGAACGAATATTTGTACCTAAAAATGAACCGTCGGCGACGTCGATGTCAGGCACCCATATTTTTTTTTTTTATAGAAGAGGGGGCAAACGAGCATGTGGCTCACCTGATGTTAAGTGACTACCGCCGCCCATGATCAACCGCAACACCAGGGGAATTGCAGGTGCGTTGCCGGCCCTTTAGAAAGGAGTAAGCTCTTTTCTTGAAGATCCCCAGGTCGTATCGGTCCGGAAAAATCACCGGTGGTAAATTATTCCACAGAGAGGTTGTACGCGGAAGAAAACTCCTTTTGAAACGTACAGTGGTGGACCTCCAAGCATCCAGATGGTGTGGATGGTATCGGGACGTTTGCCGTGTAGTGCGTTCACGAAATTTGGCGGCTGGGATTAATCCGAACAATTCCTCAGAGCACTCCCCGTGATAGATGCGATAAAATACGCAAAGAGATGCAACATCTCTTCGCAGCGCCAGTGAATCGAGCCGATCGGAAAGCACTCGGTCGTCGACGATTCGAGCCGCTCTGCGCTGGATGCGGTCAAGTGGAAGGAGCTGGTACTGGGGAGCCCCAGCCCAGAGATGGGAACAGTATTCCATGAGCGGCCGAACCTGCGCCTTGTAAAGTTGCAGGCGGTGTGCCGGCATGAAATACTGTCCCGCTCTGCTGAGCACGCCAAGCTTTTTAGAGGCCAATTTGGCCTTCCCTTCCAAGTGACCACGAAACTGCACGTCACTCGATATGTCGACGCCGAGGATTCCGATACTGGCTGAGGCAACAAGGGGAGTGCGTTGAAACTGAGGGGATACGACAAAGGGGTTCTTTTTAGCGGTTAACGCGCAAACTTGTGTCTTCTGGAGGTTAAACTGGACTAGATTTAGTCGCCCCCAATCCGAGACTCTGTCCAGCAGAGACTCGACTTCAGACACAAGTTTGTCCCGGCACTCAGAGACGTTTTCCCGAGAAATATTGGCTCGGCCGGTGTAAAGAGCATCACCAGTGCTGTCATCTGCATAGCAATGAATGCTACGAGTTTGCAACATATCATTGATATGCAGAAGAAACAGCGTTGGCGATAGCACGCAGCCCTGTGGAACACCAGCATTAATAAGCTTGCAATCGGAGCTTGCACCGTCTACAACGACCTTGATGCTCCGATCTGCAAGAAAACTGGTGATCCAATCGCACAATTTCTCGGGAAGCCCATAGGAAGGGAGCTTCGAAAGAAGCGCTTTGTGCCAAACCCGATCGAAGGCCTTCACAATGTCCAAACTAACGGCCAATGCCTCCCCCTTGGACTCTACTGCCTCCGCCCATCTGTGAGTTAGGTAGACCAGAAGATCACCAGCTGACCTACCACGGCGAAAACCGTATTGGCGGTCACTAATCAGCTGGTGATCCTCAAGGTACCTCATGAGCTGGCAGTTTACAATGGACTCCATTGTTTTGGAGAACAAGGAGGTGATGGCGATAGGCCGGTAGTTGGACGGGTCTGAGCGGTCGCCTTTTTTAGGGATCGGGTGGACGAAAGCCGTCTTCCATGATTTTGGGACTACGCCTAGGGAGTAGGAGTACCGGAAAAGACGCGTTAAAACCGGTGCCAACTCTGGAGCACACGTCCTCAGCACAATTGGGGGGATTCCATCAGGCCCACTCGACTTATAGATGTCCAGGGAGAGGAGTGCTTTGCGAACCGAGCGCTGAGTGAACTGCACTTCCGGCATGGAGCACTCACACCGCGGGATGGTCGGCGGCGTACTCCCCCCGTCATCGAGAGTCGAGTTAGACGCAAAGAAAGAGCCTAGAAGATCGGCTTTCTCCTTTGCGGTGTGGGCCAGTGAGTCGTCCTCCCTGTGCAGAGATGGAAGAGATGGCTGACAGAAATTCCCCTGGACAGCCTTGGCGAGAGACCAGAATGCACGGGTTCCAGAAGGAAGACGAACTAGTCTCTCGCCAATTCTGCCTATGTGCTCTGACTTTGCCTTGGCAATGACTCTTTTGAAGGACCTAGAGGCGGAATTATACTTCTTTTTTTAGAGCGCTGGTGTTTACATCCCTGGACGCTGATGCGTCAGCCCAGGCTCGGTAGCACTCCTGCTTATAGCATGATGCTATTTTACAGGAGCGACCAAACCATGGCTGAGATTTGCCTCCAATGGGCACCACAGAGGAAGGAATAAAAAGTTCCATACCCTGAAGTACCACATCAGCGACAGAATCCGCAACAACGTTGCGATCATCCGGCGAGAAGCAAACCCGCCCCCAAGGGTAGGATGCAAAGAAAGACCGCATCCCATCCCAATCGGCTGCCCTATAGTGCCAAACACGGCGGCAGCCTGCAGAATGCAACCGCGATTTCAGCGTGAGTAAAGCACCACACTCCGAACAAGACAATGGTCCGAGGAGCCTAAATGGGCGTCGACGGAAATCTGATATCCGTCCGGGTGAGAGGTCAGCAGAAGGTCCAACAGGGAAGACAGATCCTCCACATCTGGAATCCGCGTAGGCGAAGTAACCAGTTGTGTCAGACCATACCATATAATATCACTATTATTAAAGTCGCCAACTAATAAAAAGCTATCGTCCGAGTGACTCATGACAACTTCGCTAACCGAGTGCAAATAATTTTAAAGTTGAGCAGTAAAACTGAGACCCCGATTTTCGTTACACAAATATAAAATACAAATATGCAAATTCTTGTGTTTTTTACGGGTAATATGGTGAATAGACAACGTTAACCATAGGTCCTCAGCACTTGAATGAAAGGAAGGCTGCGGGATAGCTTCTAGATCTTTACGCGTCGCAATCAAAACACCACCACCGTATTTGTGAGCAGTAACTGTGTAATTCCTATCACGCCGCCATACAACGTATCGATTATCAAATAATTCCGTATCACTAATTCTGTCCAGAAGCCATGTCTCCGTAATTAATATTATATCATAATCACATAAAAGAATATTAAGATAAAATATGTCGGTTTTAGTGCGCAAGCCTCTTGCGTTCTGATAATATATTCTTAGGTTGTCACTGCAACACCCTACACGTACACTATTATTATGTAGCATAGCCATTTTTAAGCTTATCAATAACCAAGATAATTTTACTACAATAAAGGAATATATATCTCCCGTCATATTTCAAAAACCCGTTAGTAAAATTAGAAAATAATATACCAATATTTAAAAATTTACTAAGACTATAATAAGTTAGCGTATATTGAGAGATTGGCATTTGAGAGAATATAATCGATCTCGTTTTTTGTCTTCTTGTCAGGAGATATCCAGGTCCATTTGGTTTTTAAATTTTTCTTAAATATTGTGTTAATTATTGTGAGTTTATTTTGGTACGCGAATTCGATTAATTGTTGACCTCTACTATTTCTTTTTCCATAACCGAATTTTCCTGTGATTAGTTTCTCTATCTTGTAAGTAGAGCTTATTTTTGAATTGAAATCGCCCATCACAATAACGAATTTATTTGTTAGCTGACATGCATCATTTACTTGTCTATAGAAGTTTTTGACTATTTCTTGTTTTGCTTCTCCAGTTGGAGCATATATTTGAATAAGAGAAATTTTCAAATAACCAAATTTCATGTTGAGCAAGCATACTCTATCTGAAATGCCAATAAAACTCTCTATATTTGTTTTGAACTTCTTTTTTTACTAGGAATCCTACTCCACGTTGCCCAGTGTTCTCCCCTGTATAGCAGAAGATATGTTCAAGGTCTTCTGTTATTATTGCTCCCGATCTTCTAATCTCTGCTAACCCGTTGATATCGTATTTAAGGTGATTGATTGCCTCTTTAAATTCTCTGATAATAATGATATTGCGTATATATATACATACATATATTTTTTGCTCTAGAGGGTTGTAGTCAAATTTTTCCGCGGTGACAAGCCGTATTGCATTTTGTAGAGAGTTGTTGTCGCAAATTGCTATTCACAGTTATTTTTATTATGTGACATGGCAGCGTTGTCTCTTGATGATTTGTTAATATATTGATTCATATTTACCTTGTTTCGCTTTGGTACTCGTATTTGCTTGGTTAATTTATTTCTATCTTCTAATGGAGTTTGCTCTTCTGGAGATGTGGACAGATTTCTTTTGTTATTGGGTTGATATGTGATGTTTGTCTGTTCTCGTTTCTTTTTCAAAATGACAATTTTGTCATATTTTAATATAGCTCTTTCTCCTTGTTCAATCTTTTGTTTGAGTTCTGGAATTAGAAGTTTTCTAGTTTTTAATATTTTTGGAGTTAAATCTTCTTTAATATAATATAAACTCTTTTCAAGATTCCGACGGTTTTTAAATAATTCGATTTTTTTACTCATAGTTGTAAAGGTTATAACTATGGGTCTCGACTTTTCTCCTTTTTTACCAATTCTTCTAAAATATTCCAAATCTGATTTTTCGCATGAGACTTGCATGTTATCATGAAATATTTTTAAAATAATTGTTTCTAAGTCGTGATAATTGTATTCAGTTTCTTGTACTCCGAACAAGATAATGTTTCTTTATCTTAGGTTTCTGTCTATCATTTCTTCTTGGTGTCTTGTTCTTGAATTTTTTTTTCCATAGAGACATAACGGCTTTCAAAATTTGTAAATTTTTCATTTATGTTATCGTTTATTGTGTTAGTGATGCTTTCTTTCATACCCTTTAGTTCATTTTTTTGTAATTTCATTTCCTCTTGAATTTTTTTAGTATTAAAGTTAGCTCTTCCGTTGTTTATATGTAAAAATATGTGAAACGCGCTCTATTGATGCAATTAATATATCTTAAAGTTTTGCTGATAGTTACTTTGATAATCGTGTTTTGGCACAAGATGTCGCTCTATTCTGCACTATTTACTCACTAACACTTAAGGATAACTTTCGTATCTTCCCGGTAGATGGCTGTCTTTTTTTTAATTATAATATAAACGTGTACTTTGTGGTAGTTTGAGGTTATTATTTTTCATAATATTTTAAATTCACTTAAGATATATTATGTAACGCAACTTCTCTATAATTTTTCTCCTTATTATAACTTAACTTCACTTTTTGAGTTTTGATTTATATTCACTGAGTAAACATACAAAACCGTTACATATATTGTTTTCAAAATTTTCACAAATTAATGCACTTTATCACTAGGTTCTTATATTCACTATATATCTGTTGTTATACTTTTACTTTTAAATCACTGATTGTTATATAAAATTCACTAATTGCACTTTTTAATTGCTTTTATATCGGAGCTAATGTTAACTGTGCGATGCCGCGCCCTCTCTTTTATCGCCTTCTCGGCGTTATTATACTACGTTTATTTTCAGTATCGCTTTAGCCATCTACATTAAATGTATCGATTGTAGCCGCTTTTGAAGAACTAGAAAAAATAGACAATACATTATTATTATATTTAAACGACTTTTCCCTGGACATTATCAATAGAATTCATTACTTCATGGTCAATTAATAATTGTTCAAATGTACTCACAAACTGAGCAGCGGTTGAATTTGTACACCAACCACCTCGGCTACGAATTGCATAAAAAATAATTCCAAGTGATCTTGGCTTAATTTTTACGTCAATAAGTAATTAAGTTTGGGGTTATCTGCTTTAATATAGATGTCGTAAATATGAGAAAACAGAAATAACTGCATTTTAAAACTCCAAGAAGCTGCTTTTCGGCGTGATTATACCACCAATCAACATATAGTTTCATTTTGCTAAGGTAATTAATTTTATTTACTATTTTAGACCTCCATCTTTTTTCCTAACCTCAGACCCTCAGTTTCCTGCAATACTGACAAATTTTCAATATACTATAATACCTTTAAGTCACTTAAACAATTTCTTATATTTTTAAACATATGACAGGGCTCAGATATTACATAAATCTTGTATTCCCTATCTATTTGAGAGTAAAAGAAAGGTTTCATGTCGCTTCTTGCTTTCAACACTGCCCCTATTTTAGTTACCGTATAATAGCGCTTAGAATAATGGTGTATCTAAATATTGATCAACAATCATTATATAACAATCAAAAGAAATACACATCACATTTGCCAAAGTTTACTAATAGAAATGAAAAGATAAATCAGGATAACAACATAACAAGAAGAATCCCTTCGCAGGCTCTCAAACTCGAGCAGCAACGTACATACTTCCATAGTTTTGAGATCAACATCTGGATCACCAGTTTCGGTAGTACCACGTATTCTGAGGAACGCGATGTATTACGATATATCGCGTTCCATGAGTTTTTGATTGAATACCGGATCGGCTTAGTCGGTTGACGCTAGTAGGAATGATATAGAATGAAACTACTAAGATAATAAAACCACTAAGAAGTTAAAGCACAAATTAAATCAGCTGTTTCTCAGCTTTTTTACTCAACTCAACTCTTTGCGGGCGCAAGAACGGCTTATGTCAAACTCACACCTACTAAAACCCCATAGTGTTCTACCTCCGCCGCACATTCGCAAGGCCATGAAAATGCTTTCATGCACATCCGTGGCCCCACTAATGCCAGCCGCTCAATGGCAGCCCCTCCTTAGTTGCGAACTTCTCCTCCCCCTTTTCCTTTCTCAGATAAGGCGCATTACCCTTCGCGGTCCCTAACTCCACCTACACAACGGACTCCCTAAGTCCGATATGTGAATGAAGCCAGGAAAAATCGAACACTCGGAAGCACCAAGTGGTACAGCCTCGCCAAAGTCGCGGAGAATAGTCGAATGGCGCTTTGCCAATCGCCATACCAACACACCTCTTCCCCTGCGAATCAACCTCAGCTGCAGCGGTATGAGTATAGAACTCTCCTCTCGCCACAGCACACTAACACACAACCATGGGCTTGACAAGCTCACTAAGAGTGACCACCTCGGGCTAGCCTTCGAGACAAGTCCTTACGCTTTATTACTGATCACGTAAAAAAAGAACTTGCAAGCACTCAGTACTCTAGGATTGCCTACCGAAAAATGGGAGGTTTTAACTATACATATTGGGTCTGCTAGCACAGAACAAATAATAGTACTACGTACAGAAGTTACACTCTTTTAAAGTTGACTACTTCCCGATGTTTAATACCCTACACATTTACTATTAATTAGATAAATCGCGCTCGCAAGCCAAATAAAACTTTATCGCTTCGTGAGAGTGTCCGTATTACTTTGCATCTTTTGCCCTTCCTACGTTACTGCGAACTTTCCGTTGTTACGAAGGGATATCGATAAGGAGTAACAAAATACATTGCGAAATGTTAATTAAGTTACTTAGGTGAAATACCTATTCTGACTGTGATCGACTGACCATATTTTTGCACCTAAGTGAGTTCTGTGATGCGTTAGCATGCAACTTGCAAGGACATTCGTCGGGAATCGCGATGCTTGACTCGGAAGAAAAAGGTATATAGTAACAACCGATAAAATTGAAATACGATTACTAACAGAAAATAAATGTAATTGTATTCTACATAGTTAAAAATTTTGTTAGTAAACAAAGTTTTACTAACAAAATTTTAATATTATAAATAATTGGGAACCCGGTATTCTGCTAGACAATCCAAGCGCTCGCTACGAACAATCCAATTATCACGATCACATTCGAGGGCTCACGGAAGCCGGTTTTTCTGTCAATACGGCCCGGTTCAGAGCGGTGATTTGAAATATCGGTGGGTTGTAAGTTATTGTTTAAAACATGTGCGTACCTATTTAATACTATAATTACTGTTTGTGAGCAGCCAACGATTAGATGATTGTATTGTTATATGTGATTGTACCATTTCCTTAGATTATGTATGAGACTGTAACTTGCGGACAAACCTCACGATTTTTGCAAGTTAAATAGATTTAATCCATGTATCATTCATGTGCTATAATAAATTTAAAAAAAAATTAATAAATAAAGAAATAAGATTTATGAAGAGAAAAGAAATTAAACGAAAGTTCACCTTGATAAGCAAATGATGGAGAGATACGGGAACGTCCATCACTGGTATAGCATATAGTCCTCGAGCGGATATGCTTCCATAATTGAATGATAAAATCGAAAGTAAAGGGTACTAGGGAACAATACCTTCAGTATAAGTGACATGACGAGCTTACTTATGTTAGTACTGTTGGGGACCAGAGAAGTCTTAAGTAATGGTACATAGAGGTCACATCCTTCATTGCGTAACAGTGTAAACTTAGTTTTCCTCCGTGACAACTGTCGCAGTCTTTCTAAAATTACTTAAACGTAGACCTCAAGGTTGTGCTCACAACGCAAAGTACACTTTTACCTTTATGTGGTACCCAATACCCAAGTAGTAATACCCAAGTAAATGGGGGGGCACGTATGCATAAAATACCTGCATGACAAATATCATGGAACAAATTATTAAATGAGTATAATAAAAATTCCCAGTAACGCCCTAAGAGGTGAATTAAAACTGCGATTCCCGATATCTAATAAATAAATATCGATTTCTAATTAATAAATAATAATAATATAAGGAAATGATAGTAGTCTTAGTACAAAAATAAATAACTTACAAGGACATAAAAAATTAAAATGAGTTACATTACATAAAAGGTAATAAATAGGAGATCCCCGAACAAATCCAAAAAGTGAAATAAGTAGTTATTTGCATTTTGTATTAGGATGATACCCAAAATCTACTCATAAGTTACACGTACTAACTATAGGATCGATCCTACACAACCACACGTAAAAAAAATACATTTTCACATACACACACACACACACACACACACACACACACACACACACACACACACACACACACACACACACACACACACACACACATACACACACACACACACACACACACACACACACACACACACACTCACACACTTACACACACGTATATATATATATATATATATATATATATATATATATATGTAGGAATGGAACGTAAGTTAATGGAGTGGAAACGGAACGTAAGTGTGTGAGAAGGAGGACGTGAGGTGAGAGAGAGAGAGGGAGGAAGGTGGCTTTTCTTTTTTGGAACGAGGAAGGGAAGCGTGCGTGACTTAAACTAAAAAAAGGTGTTAAAAAGTGAAATTAAAAGAATATATTGATTATTCTCGATTTTGTTAAGAGTTCTTCCAAAATCAATATATATATATATATATATATGAGTTTATAAATATTTTTCATATTTACTTGAATTATATTTTTTTTAAATAACTCTACCTTAAATTTAATTATTAATGTTATTTTTTTTACTATAGAAAAGTTAATCAGAAATTATGTTACTTAGAAAATGTTTTTCTAATGATATTTTGTTACCTTAGCTGTGTAAAAGTCTGTTTTTTTTTTTCATTTTTTATAAATTTCTGTTTCAGTTAGGATAACATTTATCTTAGAAGTCTTGAAATTTAAAAAAAAAACTTAGTGTGTTTTTGACTAATAATGATAAACGACATACATA